ACTTTGTTGTCTCCCTTTTAATCTGTCTATTATAATCAAATGAATTTTGTTTCTTTATGCATGTTCCATTTACATCGAATTATTACTCTGATTATTGCTTATTATAAAATAATTGATCTTTGCTTTTTAAAATTTAAACTCTAATACACTGCCGTCTATATTCATACTGATTGGTCCAACAGGTTGCATATATTTTGCGGAATCTAAATTGTGTTTTTGGCATCTGTTTCTGCTCTTGTTTGTGAGTGATTTGCTTTCTAGTGTGTCCTATAGACTTCATCTGTCAGTACAGCTTATCTTTCTGAGTGGAAGACCCCATGGCTGAATGTGAGGAAGCTTTGCTGCTTCTGCTTCTGCTGCCAGGCAATACACCTTATTCAAGACCACAGTTCATCTCTCTTCATGGATTAGACAAATTCAATTCCAAGATCAGCCTTTGCACCTTGCAAAGTCCCAGGGGTCAGTACTTTCTGTACTGTTGGTAGCTAAATCTGACAAGGGAGCCACTCACCCCTGCTGGCTGCCTGCCAGTCCAGGCAAGATCTTTGCTGCTCCCCTCCCCCTCAGGTCCCCTCTTAGTGCAGCTGCTTTTGGAAGTCACCCCAATTCCCAGGCACACCTCCCTCTTCTACTGACCTGAACACCCTGGCCACTCAGGACCCATTAATTCCAACCAAATTTCTTTTTTTTTGTTTCATCATATTATGGGGGTACAAATGTTGTTAAGGTTACATATATTGCCCTTGCCACCCCTCTCCTCTGGAGTCAGAGCTTCAAGTGGGTCCATCCTCCAGGTGTGGCATCGCACTCATTATATAAGTACACACCCATCCCCCTCCCACCTCCCACCTGCCGGACACCCAATAAATGTTTTTTTCTAATTTTTTTGACATTTTAGTTACATTTTATATCTTTGCCTCTCCCTAGGAAGGGTTAGAGGTATACCCTTCCCCTCCATAATGCTCTTTAGACCTAAACAAATTGTTTTTTATTTTTTTCTCTCCCTCTTATGACTCTTGCCTCTTCATTATGGTCATATTATTTTCTCTCGTTGGATGGCACTGGTCTCACATCTCTATCTCTATAAATTAGAAAACAAAACAAACAAAAGAATTACACAGTTGCACTCACAGACCCCCACTATTGAGAAAGACCATTCATTCAGAGCCTCAATTTCTGATTTTTAAAATTGGAATACTAGACATAATTTCCCAACATTGTCGGTGGGGTCAAGAGGACCTGTCATCATACCTATAGTGCAGAAATAACTCAATAAATTGGTGTACCTCTCTCTCCTCCACTACAGAAACCCTCTGTCCTTTAGCTGCAGGAATGTGTCTTGACTGCCTGGAGCACCCCTCCTGCTTGCGCAGGTCATATGTAACTGGCTCTCCTGTGATATTTCACAGCACTATTTTATCTAGGTTGTCTTTAATGTCACTACAATCTTTCATGCTTATATTCTGTTCCCTCAAATTATCTTCAAGTCCATAAAAGCAGGTGCATAGTTCAATCCTCTGTGCTTATTTACTCCAGATTTCCCAGTGTAGAGCCACGTTGAAGAGTAGCATATCACCTAAGAACAAGTTTCAGGGAGTGAGTGGGCTCATGTCCACCCACTTCTGCAACTGTGCTTGCCAAGCCAACTTTTTACTCTTCTTATTATTCATAACATATAATTAATGCTTATTTGACTTGTCTAACTTACAAAGTCATTGGTAGCAGGCCATGAAATAAAGAATAAGAACAATTTAGAAGCATTTTGCAAAGCAGTATTTTTCGAGATGACATTGCTACAGGGCTCATGACTACTGGGCATGGGAGACACCGTGGCATGGTCTACACACCTGTCATTGCATCCTAGAAAGTATGATTATGAATTCCCTCATACACATGAGAAATTGGAGGCTTTAAGATGTTAAATAACTAGTCCAAGGTCTATATAGCTAATAAATGAAAGTCAATCTCAGGATTATTTGAGCTCAAATTCCATGTTGATAAGCTGTACAAAAGGGAGGAAAGTTTTGACAAAGGATAATAAAATTGCATGTTATACTTGACCAGTGCTCTTACTAAGTTATATTAATCAAAGTGTCCCAATAGTTCAAAAATATAAAGATGAATATGAGCTGAATAAACTGAAAAGGTAATTGACATCCGAAAGGTTGGAAGTGGCACAAGACAAACTCAAGCACGGGAGTCGTCTTCCTTTATGTCAGAAATTTTTATAATATCTACTCTGTTACTTAAAATGATATTATTTCACATAATTAACACAGGCAATTCTGACATGAGGACTTTTAAATTATTATGTTTCATTTAAAATACTTGTGTTTGAGCTGCTATATTCATTCATTTTAGATGATTTATCTATGTAATGGTATTTTCCAGTGCATATCTTAATTGATATACTAATTCTTATAAAATATCCCCATGCTGTCTACAAGTCCCCATGCAACTCAGGTGGTGGGTAATTCCATGTCAGTGATGATAAGACCCTGTTCCTCTTGCCAGAGTTTGACTACTTTGTGGAGGCTTGAATGTGACCTGAAATTGAGAAAAGAAAATAGTCTCCAATTCAGTCTGTTATTACAACTATTGATCTTTTGAGTTTTTAAATTTTAATGTTTAAAATAAAGTAAAATAAAATTTAATGTTATAGTAGTGTCATTTTTATCAAATAAAATGTACCCCTTTTAAGAATATAATGTAATTATTAATGATACATGTATGTTCTGGTGTAATGCCATCCCAATCAAGATGTAGAGCATTTCTATCACCCCACAAAGTTCATTGACGCTCTTTGTACTCGATTTCCCGCCACTGCCTCCTTGGGCAATTCATTGTCTGATTTTTATTGCAATACATTAGTTGTTCTTATTCTGCAAACTTGATTAGAATTATTGGGTACGTATTCTTTTTTATATGGCTTCTTTCACTCCTAATAAAAGCATAATGTTTTCATCTATGTTATTGCATATACTAATTTTTTTTTCCTTTTTTGACTGAGTAGTATTTCAATGTACGTATATAACACATTTTTTTTTTTTTTTACTCACACACCTGTATTGGATATTTAGGTTGTTTCCACTTTTTGCATCTTCATTTCTGAAGAAATAGTGGGCTCCTTCCATCTAGTAGTTCTCTGCTTACCTACCTAGGACATAAAAATCAGTGTTTATGGTTATTAACCCCCAGACATATGGCCTGGCATTCCTTTCTGTGTCTTGGATGCCCTTTTGTTGTGCTTAAACTCAGTAGTGCATGGTCTCGGCTGGTGGAGAAACCCTCATGTAAATTTCTTAATGTATTTGAGAAAATAAATGAATGAATGGAAGAGAAGCAATGCATATGAAATTACTGCTTCTTTCCTTGCCACAAGTATCCCCTGTGGTAAGATGCAAAGGAATTGGGTAAGTGGCAAAGTAAAGATGAAAACACCTTGAGAAGCCACTTAAATTAAAATCCATGTCGTTGCCTAGTACACGGCGAATTGTATTCTAACTAAAATACATTTAATTCTTAGGCTAGACCACAGGCAGAAAAACTGGTGGCCCACATGTCAAAAGGCGAGTTTGTTTTGAATTGCATAGACTTTTAAAGCAATTGTAATCCAGCCATCAATATTTAATTTAGGTATGCCCTGTGTATTCACATACATTCATGAGTGTGCATGCAACTGGAAACACACATACACACACAAACAAAATCTGAAGTTTTAATAACTCTAGGTCCTTATTACCTTAAGGTAATGACTTAATAATCTCAGAGTATTTTTGGTAAAGAAATTGATAACTGTGAAGGAATATCTGCATTTTATTATTAGGTAATCATCTATTAAATATACACATAAAATAAATTGTTCGCATTGAATTTATTTCTGGAATAATCAATTGAATGCAGGCTTACAAAAAGCAGTGACCTCTTTGGGCCTTCCCTGGCTTCTCTGTCTACAGTTTTAATGAATCCTCCAATATTTCATTACCCATGTTCATAATGTTGTTCTTCTTAGCACTTATCACATGCTAACACTCTGAATATTCCAGTTAATATGGGGTTACTTGTTTTTTTCCCATCCTGAAAATGAGGTTACAGGGGAAGGTACCATGTCTCTTTTGACTGAACCTCCAATGCCTAGAACAGTGTCTGGTATGGATTAGTCTTCCTTATATATATGCTAAATGACTGACTTCATATGATGCCTGAGGATTTTCTCAAAAGATAAACTTAACTAGGTAATCTATAAATCATTTACCTTGATTACTTTTCTAGTAGGAAATATTTACATTAAAATAATTATATCATTTATTATTGTTTACAATGTTCCAGGCAATGTTCTATACAATTTCCACATTTTCACTCACTTCATGCTCAGAACTATGTAGGTATGTACTATTAATAAAATTATTTTATAGACAGAGGAATCAATGCATAGAAAAGTTTACTATCTTGCCCAAGAAGAAAAAGCTAAAATGCTAAGTTCCACATTTTGGGTGCAGCACCTCCGCTTTTTCTTTCAATGATGCGATTTCCCTCAAAAGCAAGACATCTGAAAAGCAAGAGCAGCAGATAGGAAAATATTGGATGTTAGTAAAAATTGTTTCCATTCCTAAAAGCAAAGCTGCTTCACAGGGACATACAGTTCCTGGGACTCTCCCCAGGGTTGTAGGACATAGCAGGGGGAACAGGGGCTCAATTAATACACAAAGAAGGAGTTACTTTCCCTGATTCCACGTCCTGAAAAATGGAAGACTGTTTATTGTGTGAACTTAGTTGTATATCTATTTTATCATTCCTGTCTTACTTTCAAAGTCCTAATGTCCTCCTGCCATGACCTGTTCCAAGTAAAGAAAATTTTCCAAGGATATACTCCCTGATGCAGTCTGCATTTCAGTTTAGCAATCTGGTTACTCCTCTGGGAAAAAAAAAAAATATATGTATAAAGGCATGCATATGCATGTGCAGCAGGTATTTCTCAATATGTGCTCCCGCCCTGCTGAAAAGGAAGCAAGAACACTTTCAATTTCACTCCAGAGAAGGGTAGGAGAAAACAGCCATGGCCGGTGAGTGCTTTACTCTTAAAAGGACAGGTCAGTGGGAAGAAACAGTTTTGGAAGGAGCTGGTTCTTCTAGAAACCATAACTAGGTTCTGTGGAGGTTTAGGTGAGCAAAATTGAGGGAGAGGAACGAGAGGGCGGAGGAAAGAGGCTCAGAGGACTTTCGCAGGGGTGGAAATGCCAGGGCAAAAATTAACTGGGGCTGCGCTCATATCCTGCTGTCATTTTGCAATCTTAACTGAAGTCTCCAACCTTGTAAATCTGACGGAGCTTGCAGAATCAGCACAGGATGAAGACCAGCTCCTGCTGTCCGCAAAGGAAGGGGGCAAACACAGTTTCATTATTTTATTATTCAGAGTTGAATAAGCACAAGGCACAAAAGGATGATCTCTGCTTTTCAAGTACTAACTTGGGGATAGCAATTCTGTCTTCAGGCCACTCCATGAGCATACATGGGTAACTAGGGGGAAAAGTGGGACGGTGATAGAATAAGAGAAGGGATTTCCCAGCTGGCTGGAGAGGGATGTTTAATTGATGGGATCTCAAGGAGGCCATTCCCTGTTGATGACATGGGAGGAAAATGAGGCTGTTTTCATGACTTGAGATGTCCTTGTTCTCGGAACAGACAAGGTCCTGAAGGAGAAGAGGAGGCAGTTTATCCGCTCAGTGGGCACAGGTACCATAAATGGCTTGCTGGATGAACTATTAGAGAAAAGGGTGCTGAACCAAGAAGAGATGGAGAAAGTAAGAGATGAAAATGCTACAGCTATGGACAAAGCCCGAGCTTTGATTGATGCTGTCATTCGGAAAGGGCCCCAGGCAAGCAACATTTTCATCATGTACATTTGTACCGATGACTTCCACCTTGCCCAGACGCTGGAGCTCTCCCCAGGTAAGGGTCAATGGCTCAGACTAGAGTTCACGCATTCCCTGTGTCTCTGTGCCCAACATTTGATTTCTTTATTAGTCACATTACTTTGAAGACAATTTTCTTATCTTCAGCTTAATGGGCCCCATTTCTGTCCCAGGGCCTACTGCATGTCCCATGACTCTTCTTGTTCCTCTTCCTTCTCCCTCAGTGGCCTTCCTGTGATTGAAGCTCATTTCTTGTTCTATGTAGTAGATCATTTGTTAAAATTCATGAGAGCCACTGGAAAATCTTCATACTCCATCCATGTTCCAGTTCTCCTGGCAAGGCATATCATTATTATTTCCAATACTATTAATTTCTTTAGTTTTGTTAAATTTGGGGTGTTTCTAGGTGTGTATGTAGTTTTCTCACATGAAGATTTAAGGTATATAATTAAAGACTTTTTAATAACTTACATATAAATTTTTGCTGTCTAGGAAGAATAAATTATATTTTGGCGATGGGGAAACACTCAGAGAATAAGTTGAATGATTCTAGAAAAGTGAGGATTTCAAGTGGACTCTTTCTTCCAATTGCCTCCTTGCATTTTCTTTTGAGGAAGCTTGCCCAGTGGTATGGTACCCACTTGCACAACATCTGTGAGTCCTAAGCTCTAGCTCCAATCTCCCTGAGGACCTGATATGGGGCTGGGGCTTCCTTCTGAGCTGGCCTGAGCCTATCACCCATAGACCTTCCACATGGGGAAGACGGGAGCTCTGGGGACTCCCAGCCATTCATCTCTGCTGTACCTCCCAGAGCCAATTCAGAGAGAGGTATTCTTTGAAAGTAAGAAACCTTTTTTCCTAATGGTTAGGAGAAGCCTATGCCTGTCTGAGCTGACATTGCAGATATTTTCTGTGTTCATCTGTGTGTAATAAATTTCTTATTTTTTTTCAATACACATTTTACATTTTATCTCCCTCCCCATGCCCCCCATACTCTCTAAAGTAAAGACAACCAATCAATAACAATAAGGGTTAAGATTAAATGTAGAATAGCCATAATTTCTTCTTCCTTGCACCATTCAACCCTTAGACCTTGAATCCTAGAGACACTTACACAACCCACTGTGATAATTCTAACTCCTGGGGTTTGCCTCTCTAGTTATCAAATAGTATTTCCTCATTCAATGTTGTTTTCAGGGCCATGGGCTATCATAATTAGATATAATATTTGAAGGTACTCTAATGGGAGAGAACTTTCTAGATAAAAGTCCTTGACATGTACACTACAACTGTAACAGTGTCTCTTTCAGTTAATATTCTTGATTGTATTGGTAGTAATTGTAGCCCAGCAGGCTAGATGGGCTAGATATGACAAACCCCATCATGCTGCCTGGACTTAGTTTAGTAGGACATCCTATGACATTAACAGCAATAAATGGACAGTATTTTCTCTGCATAAATCTTATCTTCAATTGGTTCTATAAAATAAAGGCAAAGTATTCATTTGCTAGTTTGTGTCAATTTTTAAAGTGTTTAGAATAAATTTTTCAAATAGATGTTTTTATATTGAGATCCTTACGACACTGTAAATAGAATTAACTTAAATTCTTATTCTTGAAATTGACAGTCTTCCAAGAGTCTGGTAGAAATACTAACAGTTTTGAATGATTTTATACATAGTTTAACTGAGGGCCACCAGCACTTTCCTTTTCAGAGTAGGGTTCAAGGTATTGACAGGCAGATTGAATTTACCTGGAAGATTGTCTAGAGATTGTGGCCAGAGCTCCTGTTACATACATTGACGTGTGGCAGCCTTGTGGGCCATCTGGCAGAGTGGCTTAGTGATGAAGAGCCCAGGATTGATAGTCAGGACAGATTTGTGCTCATATCCAGGCTCCAGTACTTTTCTGCTCTTGGACATTTAGGAAATTCGCTAAACCATTTTGACATAATGCATTGCAGAGCTGAATGAGTTCATGCCTTTAAAGGATCAGACATTATTATTATTAATTTTATTCCTCCTATGGTTCATGGTGACAAAGTAGAGAAAATACCATTATAGTATAGAGAATAGAGAGTGGTGTGGGATAGAAGTCATATAGTAATATTTACAGAATAATTTCCTGTAACTTTCATATATAGCATACCATTAAACTTATAAAATAGTCTAACACATGTGTTAGGAGTCACTCTGGACCACAGAAATTTCACTAGCTCACAAGAGGGGAAAATCATTAACATCACTGAGTAATAAATTCGAAAATTTTTTTAGAAATTTGTAAGGGGATAATAATATTTTTTAGGGACTTTGCACAAATATCTGTAATTTTAAAATGGAGAAGGCATTACTATTAACTTCTCTTCCTAAAAGCAGATATAAAAAGCCCTTGCAAGTCCCCTCATTTCTCTGAACTCTATACCTCCCAGGATCTAAATAGAGTCCTTTGAGAACTTCACCACTTCATCTCAGGCTTGGAACTAGGGTTTGTTTCCCTCTGATGTGGCCAATGTTCACCTCACCGTTTTCTGCTGTGATAAATATCTTAGCAAGCTTAAGTGTCCAAACACAGATGCCTTTTCTTTATAGTTTTCTCCAAAGCCAGAGTCAGCTCGGGGTTAGGCAACTCTCCTTTGTACACACCTGTTACATAGTGAGGTTACCTCAGGACCCCCCTTGGCATACATGTGTCAGTAGAATTATTGATTCTATACCTAATTTCTCAATTCTGATTTCATCATAGAAATCAGAGATCCAGGAAGTCACTCACAGACACTCTTTAATTTTGCCTTAGCTGTTACATAACTGTCTAGTCATTCATAGGTAGAGGCTACCTGCTTCCCAGTGATGAGTGTGGTTCCAGGTAAGTCACAGCTTGAATAGGATTTATTATGATTAATCCGTCAGGCCTGTGAAAACAATTTTCAGTGGGAGTGTTCAATACATTGGGGTAAAATTCTTCATAGCTGGTAAGAAACTATTTTAATACTCTTCATTTTTCTTCAGGTCCACAACCTGAAAATGACTTGCCTTTGCAGGATGCCCAAGCAGTGTTTCCTTCCTTCTCAGGTAAGGGTGTTTTTAAAGAAAGAGAGTTCTTTGAACCCCATCTTCCTTGATGTTAATGTCACAGGGTGAACTTCAGGTGAGAACACCATGGATAATTCTCAAGAATTGAACATAGACTTTTTCCTCTTCTTAATCTATTTTCCATTATCAGGAGCTGTTGCCAAAGCTTCACTACCCATGTTTATACTAACAAATTCTGAATCTGTGTGTCAAATCTCATTTATCCACTTAAGTGCCAAACTTGACTATTGAAGTGCCTACTGAACATATTCACTGACATCTCCAACAGACACTTCTATCTAAACATTCCCAGAGCTGAACTTGTCATTTTTCCCTACCCTGATTCTCTTCCAGTTTCTCCTGTCTTCATTAATCTGTTGTTCAAACCCCAAACCTGAAATTCATCCTGGGCTCTTCCTTCTCCCTCACCTCCAACATTCGAACAGTGGCCAAGTTGTATGGATTCTTCTCTCGAGTCCAGCTCTGTCCCTTCATTTCTACTTCTACTACTATATTTCAGAGATCCTCTTCTTAAAGGGCCCTGTAATTCTCCAGCCATAATTCTTACAATATTTTTCTTATAATTTGAAGAAATAAATTCATTATTTCCTTTCTTTAAGCTTTATGACAAAGATAAACACATCTACCTTACTCATAGGTACTCTCCAATCTCACAGTGGTGGGCTCATAGTTTGCATGCAATCAGTATTTGTTAAGAGAACATTTCATTAAATAATTGCATCAGAATTACTATTATTATATTTACTAAACCATTAGGAAAATATTAATCATATGCCAACTATGTTCCACAGCCTGTTCTATGGACTGCGTAGGGAATACTGAATAAGACAAACAATGCTCTCACTGTTATTGAGCTTGCATGAGTACATGAATCATGAATGATTATATGTTTAAGAATCTCTACCATCAAAATAAACCAATCCAAAAATGTAGAGATAGAACTGAACAACACACACCTGTATTACTTAAGATACCACAGGATGCTTTAACAAAGTCAAACATTCATGATGGCTCAGATATGATAGAAACTTATTCAACATTTACAAAAATTCTAAACTGGCCACTGGTAGACAGTCCTTCTCCAAATGCTAACCCAAAAACCAAGACCTCTTCCCTTCTACGACTCTGATAGCTGCAACATATGATGCTAAAATAACTGTTGTCATAACCTTCCAGTTAGCGGCATTGGAAAGAATATGTGGAATCATTCATAGCAGCCTTTTCTGGGCTCAGTCAAGTTGTGTCATCTCTTACTTGTGTTTGCATTCCTTTAGCTAGAACCCAGCCATATGGTAATATTTAACTGCTAGGGTGGTTGGCAGCGTAGATTAGATGAGTGCTAAGGAACAAGAGAAGAGGGTCTTTTTGGCTCTCCTTGTAAACATTGAGAGTGTCTACCATGTCTCTGCCATAAAAATTTAAGCACAAAAATTTTTATTCCATACTATATTAGAGGTAGCACAGGAAATATCTGTGACTGAGATGACAAGGAAGCTCTTAAAAATGTTTCAATGCTCTACCCTGAAAAATAATGGTCTCGGTTTTATTGTGCCCTGACATGACCAACATATACTAAAATTTTGGTTAGCCAATTTTATTTTTGTATGAGTTAAGTCTGTTGCTTATTAGATAATTAATCTTTTTCCTGTAACAGTATTTCACCCACAATTCTATTATAATTTTATCCAAAAGTGACTTTTTTTCTCCTAAAACTAAAGGACCTTATATTTAAGATAAGTTTAGAGGCCAATAAAACAAATACTTCATGAAGTTTAGAAATTACTGAATCTATTAAAGTGTGATTATACCCTGAATGTTTTTTTAGATATTTCATGGGATGGCAAACTCAATATGCCAAATACCCTATCCCTAAGTAAAATTAGCTCAAATACAATTCAAATACTTCTATTTATTTTTTTCTGTTGTTCCCTAGAAGAAACACATTTCTTCCACCTAATGATTATTTTTATAGTTTTGTCCAAAATACCTATTCTAATTAGCTCTTATCTTCTCCACAGTCAACACATTTCATGCTGCCTTGGTTTCCCTAACTGATTATACAACAATTTCTCAAATAATTTTCAAAATTGAATATAATTTTCTCACTTTAATAGTTCATTTTCTCAGAGATTCTCCCATCCAAATACTAACCAGGCCCAGCCCTGCTTAACTTTTAAGAGATTGGGTGTGTTTAGGGTGGTATAGCCAACATCTAGAAAACTTATTTCTATTTTTACACAGACAAATGTTACATTAATTTCTTCGGCAAATACATCCCGTTGTCAGATGGTGTTGAACTTGTGATCAAATAAAAGCCTCAGGGATTTTCTCACATAAACTGTTGTGAAAACTCTTTCTTATATATTTTTACAATCAATGTTTAGTGATATGAATCCATCTGGAGTTCACCTTGATTCTAGCATTTATCACTCTACTTCACATTCATTCTAGCTCAAATATTCAATATTCTTCCTCTTCTTCTCCATATGTACACATACTAGAAAAAGACCTTGAAGGACAGAACAAAGGCTCATTTTTCAAAAATTGTATTTAATGCTTATCATCATGTCTATTAAGCAAATAAATAGATAAATTATATATCTTTTTAAAAACATTTAAAAATAGTAACTTAAGACCTGCTCCCATAAAACTTTACCTTAGACTATGAATCTCTTTAAATAACATTACCTTTAAACAATTATCTAAAATGCTGATTGTTTTCTGAGTGTTTTATTATTCATGGCTTTGAAAAGCTTATTTTCTATGTTTTTATCTAAAATATTTGTAAAAGTGCTGATTCTCAGGTATGAAGGTAGATGCTTGTGTTACTCCACTGGAAATGTCCCCTGGCTTAGACTGTGTTCCATTAGGAGCCATTCACTCACTGAACGATGTTAATGATTTCATCGGGATCATCCTCCCAAGAATGCGTTTCCTCATCTGTGGCTTCATACACAGATGATGCTGTGAGGAACATACAGCGGGACACACACGGACACCATTTTCCATGATGTTCCTCATCTCTTGCAGCTCCTCAGCCAGCGCAGGACAACCCAGCTATGCTTGCATCCTCAGGCCCAGGAAGGAGCCTCAAGCTTTGTCCCCTTGAAAAAGCCCTAAGGATCCGGGAAGCACAGTCAGCAGAGGTGCCGTGCTCAGAACACAAAGATGGGGGGGGGAGTGAAAGATGCACTGGAGACCATTCTGAATGGTCTCCATCAGTGCAGTGGCTTTTCCTTAGAGCCAAGTTCATTGAGAGGTTCTGGAGAATCACCCTGTCCTTCCTTTACATAAAAGATTCCTATGTCCTAGAATCCCAAGTTTGTATAGAGAGCTTCAGGTTGGGTCTCATTCCTTGAGTAGGTAATAATTCTCATAAGGATAGCAACAATGACAGTTACTGAATGCCTAGTATGAGTCAGACATTGTTCTAAGCATTTTGCAAATAATGATGCCTTTAATACTAAAAGTGACCATTTTTAGATCCATTTCATAGATCAAGAAACTGAGGCATGGGAGGGTGAAATATTTTGCCCAAAGTTAAGCAATCAGAAATTGGAGGAGTCAGTCTTATTCTTGCTTCAAGGCTTATGCATCTTCCAATGTCCTACCTGTCAAGAATAATTAAATCAGTAGCTCACCTGCCATTTGGGCATTTGCAAACTCCATTCCTACTCCTATTGTAACACTCAATCCCCATCCCTGTTTTTAATGCATAGTTATGGGATTTGGTTTCTTGACAGGGCTAGCAAGGGAAAGCAGTTATAAACTCACAAGATGAATATTTAATTGGAGAGGACAAGGCTGTTCATCCAATCTGCATTTTTCTACAGATTTATCCAATAATGGAAAAGTGGAGGAACCGCACACGTCTTGCTCTCATTATCTGTAACACAGAGTTTGACAATCTTCCCAGAAGGTCTGGAGCTCATGTTGATATCAGAGATATGAAGAAGCTGCTAGAAGATCTGGGGTACAGTGTGGATGTCAAAGAAAATCTCACTGCTTCGGTAAGGACTACCATACTGTAGAGACAATGGCCATGCCCTTCATAACCATAAGTAATGTTAGAAAGCTTGGTGGTTGTACTGGGAAATGTACTCTCTTGATAGTTTAAAAATCTAATTTTCCCATTGAAGAGTACTTGAGGCTACATATTTCCCTTTTACATAAGAGTCTTCTAGCAACAGCCTGGGGTAACATCTAACTGGGAAGTGTTCTGTTAACTCAGTAATGTCACCTTCTCTGTTGTACTAGAAATCACTGGATGGCATCGTATAATACTTTTTTTCACCTCTTTCAGTTTAAGGCTTAAATTTTTCTTCCCACTCCGTTAATTTTTATGGAATTATTTAAAATTTTCCTTATGTGTTTTTTATTGGAATTCCAAGATACCATGATAGTCAATGACATAGTCCAAAATCAGTGATATGGTCTCTTTCAGGAAATGACTACAGAGTTGAGGGCATTTGCTGCCCGCCCAGAGCACCGAACCTCTGACAGCACTTTCCTGGTGTTCATGTCTCATGGGATTCAGAAAGGCATCTGTGGGAAGAGATATTCTGAACAAGATCCAGATGTATTAGGAATCAATGAAATATTTAGAATGTTGAATACCTGTAACTGTCCAAATTTGACCGATAAACCCAAGGTGATCATCATCCAGGCCTGCCGTGGTGGTGAGTGATGATGTCTATGATACTCAAGCCATTCAAATAGTGACCTCATCATCTGTATGCATCTGATATTTTTATATTTTGTGTGTGTGTGTTTCTTAAAGTCTAAAAACAAGTACTGTCACTAGTCAGGATTGTGGCTTCCCTGAATTGTATAGATGGTTAGTAGTTCCATGTTCAAGCTTTGAGGTCTGGATGTTGTTAGAATTCATTTGAGATTTAGGAGAGCTAAGGATAATTGAAAAGATAATTCCTGAGACATATGTATGTATGTGCATGTGAATGAAAGATAGAGACAAATAAATTAATATACATGATTGAACAGAGGTTTAGAGGAGAAAGTAGATCTCTTAGAAATTGCTATAATTGGAAACAAAATCTTGTCTTTCCAGAGAACTATGGGGTGGTGTGGTTAAAAGATTCAGTAGGATCCTCTGGAAACTTAACCTTACAGACTTCAGAAGATTTTGAGGATGATGCCATTAGAAAAGCCCATATAGAGAAGGATTTTATTGCTTTCTGCTCTTCGACACCAGGTAATGGGTTTCTGTACAGAATATCTCTGTGGGGGTTATCAATACAGGATCCTGCTCCCACCCTTTAGAGCACAGATACCTCTGTTGAACTTTCCATAAAATTTTGGAAGACCAACTCAAGGCTTTCTCCCAGTTATACATTCAATTCCCTTTATCCACAAAGACCAAATTTACAAATATTTTCACTAAATTAAGAATTAGTGAACTCCTCTATATGGTACAAAATATTGTCCTGGAACTGTGAGGAATAATAGAGTATTAAAAGGAAAACTGTCCACATTGTTACAAAATATATTAGTAAAACTCAATGGAAACCAAGTAGGTGGGAGGAGGGAGGAGGGAACAGCTGAATTTACATTTAATGGGTACAGTTCACACTACCTTGGTGAAGGGCACACTTATAACTTTGACTCAAACTTCACAAATGCAAATCGTGTAATCAAAATCTCTGTACTCCTATAATATTCTGAAATTAAAAAAAATAAGTAATATTCCAAATAATTAAATCAATAATTAAATGAAAGGAAGTCTATCTTACACCTAAATGAATTAGAATCTGACTTTACGTAGAAAAGGTCTGCAATGCTGGGATCACTCATCAGGCCAATTTGCAAACGCATCAAGTATTTATAGGAGAATAGTGAGGACAGGAGGTACAGAAACAGAAAAGCAGGCCAAGCATACTGGAGCCCTAAATTAATGTGGGTTTTAACTAGACATGTGGAGTGTATGAAGCAGAATACATCTCTTTAAATATAAGTCCTGGTGTAAGAATCTTGCTATTATATCCTCACCCTACCTTTTAGTACTTTGTAAACTAGTTCCAGGTATTTAGCCTCTCTGGGCTTTTTATGAATTCTTCACAAATACATATAAATATAAATATCATTGTTCTAAAGATTGAATGAGATAATGTAGGGAAATATTGAGCCTGACTGAATAGAGCACACATGAAATGAATACTGTTATTAAAAATGTTTGCATTTTGTAACTTAACTCAGTTATTTTCCTTACCAAGGTTTAAACGAAAGTCATTTGAGTCCTTTCATTCAGTAGGTTTTGTGAGTTCCTGAGGACTCACATCCTCTTGGTCACCTCTGGCCCAGAGGCCCTACGTCTGCTTCAGTAGTTTACCTTCCAGATTTTCGGTAATGGAATCCCTGCTCAGGAGAGAGAGCCTGGTTCTACATTGTGTTGTCCATGTCCTGACTTTTCCAATGATCAAAACAGTGACCGCCCCCCCCCAAAAAAAAAAACCTATGGTTTTTCATATTTAGCAGACTTTAATATTATACACATGTGTTCTTTAAAATCGTTTGGTCCCAGCCTTCCACAGGACACTCTCCTATGTCTGTGTAGTCCTTTGTAGGTCCCCAGCTTCTCAAGATCGATCTTGCTGGTTTCTGTCTCCTTCTTTTCTATCAGTTTCCTCATCCCTCCTTTCCAGGTGACTCTTAGAGACTCCGATTTAGTTATCTTCAACCCCCAATACCAACCCTAGCTCCACATTCCCAACCGCATCATAGTGCTCTCCTGACAAAAATGACCACCATCTCCCTTAATTTCACAAAGCATTTGTAGAGACACCTGTCTCCTCCATCTCTTTTACCCAGTTCATTTAACTGGAGCCAGTCTTTTAAGACAGCTGTGGTTCTACATAGAATGGTAATTTATTATTGCTCTCTCTCTTTCTTTCTCTCTCTCTCTCTATATGTATATATATATATATATAAAAATGTATTGTATTTTATATTTTATATATAATATATATATAAAATATATAAATTTTAAAATATAAATATAAATTTAAAATATAAATATATATTTTATAATATAAAAAACAATAAATTATTATTAATAAATATAATTTTAAAATATAAATATATATTTTATATATAAAATATATAAAGTGGCTAAAAAATGTGTCCATGATTCACTACACAGCAATTGCTACTGCTTTTCTCTTACACATTTTGTGTGATTTTTATGTCTTCGTTACTTCTGTGTGTCAACTATGTAAAAAAGTAATATATTTCTTCTTTAATATTTCTCTTCTTTATGAAAATATTTTGTCCTCCAATAGGATGTGACCATTCCCTCATGAACCCTTCCTAGATTTGAACTTTTGTTCTGTTTGTGCTATTTTTATATTTAGTTAACATTTTCTTTGTATAAATATCTTATGGTCAATATTATTTAATTTTCATTAAAATTATTCATGAAGTAGATAAATTGAAAAGTTTTTTTTATATAATTACCCTGCATATAGGGTATTATATATGCTTTAGTATCCAGAAACCTGTGGTGCCTTATATCCAATCCTCAGAAATCTTTACCTTCCCCTGTATAGTTGAGGCCCTTGTATTTCAGAGTGAATTAACTTTAATCATAGTAAGTACCACCCATAGTTGTAAATTAGATATTTTTTCCTCAAGGCTCAATCATTCCCCTTAATCCATTCTGCCTTGCTCTTACTCTCTACTAAATCTACAGCTTCTTGAACTCAAGGACTATGTTGGTAAAAACATACTCATTGAACTTTGAACACATTCACTGAAAAATGGCATACAGTGTATAGAAAATGGAGTACATTCAATAGCATGCCTCAGATAGAGTGAAAATATTTATACTGTGGCTTCCTCTCCACATCCAAGCAAGAGCCTATCTTCAAATTTGAAGTGTGCTTTATTCACAGATAATGTTTCCTGGCGACATCCTACACGGGGCTCTCTTTTTATTATGAAGCTCATCGAGAATTTCCAAGAACATGCCTGGTACTGTCACCTGGCGGAAATTTTTCGAAAGGTAGGGCTCTAGATGCTTCTTCCACTCTTCCTCCCTAGATGCTTGTCTATTCCAGTTGGTAACTCAGAAAACATCTGGACCTGTTTATCTTCCAATTATACACTTCTTCCCAAAGGAGTTTTTAAGTTCTTTGAGAGATGACACACCTGGAAGCCAGATTCAGTCTCTTATGACCCACAACCTCTATAAAACAATTGTGTGCTTAACTCCCCTCCTGCCCTGAAAAGACAAATGAGTGGACTCTAACTTGCCTGTGTTCATCATGGCTATCAGATCTAGTAGCAGATTTAAAAAGTGGTGAGGAGGGTCATTCAATGCTAAGATACACATATTGCATACTTTCCTTAGATCCAAATACCTTTTGTGTTTAACATTTATGTTGCTGTATTTGTTGCAGTATTTCTGGCTTAAGTGAAGATTCTCCAAACAGAAAAAAAAAAAAAAAAAAAAAAAAAAACCAAAAAACTACAGGCTTTCCTTTCTGTTTTAGGTCCAATTTGCATTTGACCAGCCAGATGGTAGGGCACAGATGCCCACCACTGAAAGGACCACTCTGACAAGACTTTTCTACCTCTTCCCAGGACATTAAAATAAGTAAGTTGTATGAATGTCTTGGGCAGGTTCATGGTGCTGGGAGAAGAGAGGTTGAGAAAAGAGTACTGAAACTCCATCCTGGTCAAGGTCTCCAGGTATACAGGTTGAGCATCCATAATCCAAAAATTCAAAATCTGAAATCCATCAAAATCTAAAACTTTTTGAGCACCAACGTGATGCTCAAATGAAATACTCATTGAAACATTTCAAAATTTAGATTTTTAAACTAGGAATGCTCAACCAGTAAGTATAATGCAGATATTCTAAAATCTGAAAAAATCTGAAGTGCAAAACATTCTGGTCCCAAGCATTCAGGTAAGGGACACTCAACCTGCAGTGGATACACGGGGGGTTCTGCAGGGTGCCTTTCTTCTGGCCAGTGCAGAGTATGTTGTTCTTCTCTCGCAGTTCTGCAGTTAGACTGCTCTCTCTAGGGTCAGCTGATACTGACCTAGAGGTGGCCATAAGATTAGGAAAGCTCAGTTTTGGATGCTTCTCCCCTTCACCTCAGCAGGGGGATATTTAGACATAGCATGGGCTCTTTGCTTTTATAAGTGCGTATGTTCCTATTGGTGGTGTGACCTTATAACTTGTGTGTCTTTTAACAGAACTTTTTTTTTTTTTTAATGTTTGTTTTATTTCTTTTTCCCATAGGAATCCAGGAGTGCCGCCATTCTGTACCTGTTTTAGGGATCAAACATGTAGGAAACAGACATTCTTTAAACATTTTAATAAACTTAGAAAAAAATTAAAAAGTTGTCCTGTTTTGTTTTGTTATTTCCCCCCATGCTGGGAAAAGAGGAAGTGGAGCTTGTAGTAGGTAATGTATTTAGTCTTTAGACCTGATCTGTAAGAGCTGAACTGCCTAAAAACACCATCTTTCCTTTGAAAAACCATTTGCTAGGCTTTCAGCTTTAGAGATACAGATGCCTGACATAAAAGAATTTAGAGCTCACCAGGAGAGATGTAGAGAAGACAAATAGTAATGACAGTTACTGCATAATGTGATAAGTTACTTTTTCCAAATTTCAGAATTACTAAGACAAAGCCGTGACCAGAACGTATATGTTTTTGCCCTTTGTCAAGGTATTTAGGGAATGCAAAGTAAATTTTGATTTCACCATAGAATCTTAGTAGCTCACAGTCCCATGGACAAGGCAAGACAGTCAAGAACCATGAAACTAAGCAGACAGTAAATGCTATTAATACTGTGAATAAAAGCTAGAGTGCGTTTGTATGCAAAATGATGTCAATATGTGGTACAGGGAAAATGAGTTTGGGAGGAAATCATTCACTTAGCAACAAGATTTAGGAAAGACTGTAATAGCCACTGTTTTATTTGCAATTATGAGCATTTTCTAATTCTAAACTTATTAAAAGTGAAAATAAATGTTGGACTTTTCAAAAACCTTCAATCTTGAACCCAGCACAGCTCCTCTGCCCCTCTTTCCCTTATCATTCTCACAGGCAGATCTGTTTTGTATAATCATGCGTTCATTCTACCACAGTCTAATTCTGCTTCCATGATGAGTCTTTGGTCAGAGGATAACAAAAAGCAGAGGTGAAGAGCCACCTTCACTAAAAATTTAATGTTAAGAACATTAAGGCAAGCTTGGGCAGTTAAAGAAAGCATGCTATCGGAGTGGAGAAGAGGGTTCTGGCAGAGCCATCTCTAATTAAAGATTAAGATGACAGTGAGACAATGAAGGAAATTTATCATCATGGTCAAGCCACACAATTTAAATAGGAAGTACAAACTATTTGGGTTGTTATTGTCTGGCAATGAAAGTAGATTTGTTAGATTAACTCTTCTAAGACTTGAGTTTTTAGGTGACTAGAGGTAGACATACTGAGAGATCAAAAGCAGAAGAGAAGGATAAATGGAAGAAGGTGTGGGGACCGTGGAGAGAGAAAAGGAAAAGGAGGAAACACCCAGTTGCCCACCTACACAATGAGTTGCCCACCTACACAATGATGTTTTGTCGTTTCCATTTTTTCTTCCATCCGAGAAGAAACTTGAGTTCAGGACCTGGAAGCCAATATATTGATCACAGGGGACTTCCTGACAATGAACCTAGAAGTTCTGAAAAGCAATTTTACAACGGGTAATTAGATGCCCATACCTCCTGCAAAAAGGAAAGACCCAGCAAATTTTAGTTTTGAATCTGAGGCTTTTTTAAACAATAAAGGAAGGGATAGAGACTGTTCCCCATATCTGGTGAGTTGGGGTCCTTTTCTAACTAAAAGCTAGGAATTTGGGTCTTAGAAAAAACTTTATTTATTGCTATGTGACAGGCAGAAATAACAAAAGGGAGGTGAGCCAATATTGTGCAAATTGAATCTTTCTCTTGTTGGTCATGTAAGTTGAATTTCAGGACCTGGTGTTGGAGACGCTGAAGGAGACTATGGTCGCCAGATGTCCTCAAGCCAGAAAAGAAGTAATTAAATCCTTTCTTCCAGCTCCTGGGAATCAAACTCAGGAGAAACCCATAGTAAGCTATTTGTGTGAGAGACAACCCTGGAAGTTCCTAAATGCACTCTGCAGTCCTCTCTGCTTCTTCTTGATTCCAAAGTTGTCACAGAAAATGTATGCTGTTTGTGGACAAAAAAAGAAAAAATTAGTGATTATGATTACCAGAATATCAAAGTTGGGCTATGGCAAGGAGACTTGAAATCAACTTAGAGATAGGTTATGAGATCTATGGCAATGGGTATCTTAGTGGTCAGATAAATAAAAGGGCTTTATGGGCCAAATCTTTAGAGCTTGGGTTTTAAGCTTCAAGGGACTTAATTTTTCAGGGGATCAGCCATTGCTGAAGATTGACAGTGGGGAGCTGCATGATCAAAATCTCCAATGAGTCAACTATGAAAAATGATACAGAGTCCTGATCTGTGATCAGAGAAAGAGATCACATGAGGTAATGAATATTGAAGGAGCTTGGGTTTGCAGGGCTTATTTCAATGTAAAGTTCAAGCTGCGATTAGGAGGTCGCAGTAAAGACATGGTGTGGCCTGGCTGATGCTCAGAATGTCTCAGGGCTAGATCACATTTGGTGTTAGTAAAGCTCTTTTTCCCTCATAACTCCACCAACCTTCTCAATTCAAATTATCTTTACCTTGACCCATGAGTGAAGTAGGTCCTCAAATACCCATTGTATTTTCAAGCACAATAATTTGAATAACTAGGTATATATAAAGGCCCAAGGGCCAGATGCACAAAATCATAATGTTATTCATAACCGGATATGTTAATCATTTCAGAGGCAACTAAACATGGCATCAATAGCTGTTTTGGCAACTTACGTAAACGACCAGAGTGAGCAATGCAATTTGTGATAAATTGGGTCCTAATGGACCACCAGTGGTATGGTGATTATGGCATTTAACTGCTATTTTTCCCTGTATTCTCCTAACATCAGTTAAAAAAATTAAAGCAAGCAAGCATATTTTCTGTAATGAAAAGGGCATTATTTTCAAATATTCATCTATTTATACATACCCATGTGACAAACTTGTACACAATGTTATCCATCAGTAGGAATTATAAGAACCTGATTCAAGAGAGATGGTCAAGTACAGAGAAACCAGGTCTTTGATCAACTGTATGCACAAGCATCTTTATGTGACCCTGATCTAAAATTACTATGAGGTATCCTTAGATATATCTAATGTTGACATTGGTCTGATTGTCCCCCTATTTAAATATGTTTTCACAATGCAGACTACAGGTACCCAAAAACTTACTTCAAGCACCTACTCACTGTTCAGACAAATCTTCAATTTCTTATGCTAACAGTCGGACCTCTCCATAGTCCAAACTGTTTTCAAGCGTGTACATTGATGTCAGTCAGCAATTCATTTATACAAATGAATAGTCATCAATATATCTAGGAAATTTATATACATTTTAAGAGACTTTTTATTACTAGCACACTTATTGTTCTAAAATAAACTCAGTATGGTAATTAAGCCATAGAATGTTGACATCTAGTATTTGTCATCATTTTCCCTTCAAGAGACTCTACCAGAATACTCATCAGCACTTATGTCAGATGTGTTGACCATTCCTAGTTATTTGGGGGTAATGTAGCTGCATGCCACTACAAACATCTCTTTGTAACTCTTTACCATTCTTTAACAGATAAAGACACATTTTATGATTGAGAATTAATAGCGTACATAATAAGGCCATTGTTATTTCAGAAAATGGCTTAAGGTAGTTTTTTATCAAACTTTCCTTTCTTATTCATTTAAAGTAAATAATAATCTAGCCTATCTGGACTAGAAGCAAATTTGCTAGTCCTCCAAGTTTATATTATTTCTTGCTGTATTCCAGGAAAATATAAAACAAATGAATGCTTTGTCTTTTAAGTTCTTTAATGGGAAATACAATGGTCCATGAGGAAGTAGGTAAGTGGAACCTTAAGATTCAGGGAGAGGATTTGCCAATGTAACACTCACTGTTTCAACTTGTTGTAATGAGTAAGCAGTATTTCAGTTGAATGCAAATTCATTATCTCTGGAATCTTTTCATGATGTGACTTCAATATTAAAACATTTGCTGTCTTCCAGAACCTTGAATTGCTATTGGTAACTTTTCCTGTGTTTGTATCTTGTGATATCTCACAGGATATTAGTGGGAAGAAGTATTTAGAGCAGTGTTCTCAATCTTAAACATACAAATAAACCATGTGGTGATCTTGTTAAAACCCAACTAAGAATTAGCACGTCTGGGGAAAGCCCAAGATTCTGCATTTCCAGATGCTACAGGCAGTTCTACTACAGCTGCAGTAAAGACTAACTTTGAGTATCAGGAATCTAGCAAGTGCTCCAAACTTGCTGCAACACCACCTTCCAAATATGGGACACATGGTTATCAGGACAGACTCCTGATTTTAAGGATAGACTGAAGGACATCATCATCCAGGAATACTATCAGGTGAGTGTTGTGTTGCTCTAGTGCAGGGGCCATAACAGATTTGCAAGTATTTTGTTGTCATGGAGTGCTTTTCACTGGATCCAGTGGTTACTACTGAACAATGACTTTTTTTTTTGTTTTAAGTGCACATACAGCAATAACAATCATTGGGTGTCAGGCATATGCGAGAGGAGGGGAGACGATGAGTATATACACACATAATGATTTCTTTTTATAGGTTTTCAAAGTCTATTGTGCTCAATTAGCATTTTTTTTTCAGGAAAGACAGAATATAGCCTTTGCTATTTGTGGGAAGGTGGGACAGCAGACTCTGAGTTAATGTGTGTGTGTGTGTGTGTGTGTGTGTGTGTGTGTGTGTGAGAGAGACAGAGACAGAGAGACAGAAAGAGGAAGAGTAGGGGATTTGATGGGGAAGAAAAGAGACTATGAGAGAAATAAGAAAATATGAGGATAATTGCACAAACATTTGTTTCTTTTCAGTGACTAGTAGCAATATAAACAATCCAGTCTGTGAATGAAGAATGTGGTATGTGTGAAAAACCCACTACAGAAGCTGGTACACTTCTCAGAGAAGAAGCACACTTCTGTACTGGCCAATATCATTAATAAAGCCCACAGGAGGAAGATTTTTTTCTTTTTTTTTCTTTTTTTGCTTTCTACCCTTCAATCCCAAGGAAGCAATTTCTAGAGAGTTTTTATGATTTGAAGTCACTAGCACCCAGACTAAATAAATTGAAAAATGGAAGGAGCAGGAAGCCATGTGATATGCAGAACTAGGAAAAGAAATTTAAACAGCTCAATTGAAGACCTTCGTGTTTACAGTGATTTTTGCACATTGTTTTATGTGTTCCCCCCTTATGCCATCTCACGTTCCACTATGCACAGAAAACAGTACTATATGAACTGTTCCTGTGACATGCAGTGTACCTGTCACTTAATGTTCTCTTCAATGAGTAGTAGAAAAATCACAGAGGATTATCTAGAGTTCCCTAAGACAAAACTAAGACACAGTGAAATCCCCAAAGCAAAAATACTGTAGTGTGACCAGGCAGACAAGATGAATATTTAGGGATCATTCAGCGTCTGGGTTGCCTCAAGCTAGTGAATGGCCATTGTGGAGGGTTCTGAGACATAAGTCTGGTAAGCCATTTGAGGAGCACAGATTCAAGGCTTTCAAGGTGAAAGTAAGAAGGCTGTGCTGAGAAGCAGGAGCTATTACAAGTATAAGAATTTAGTTCTCTGCTTAGATTGGATTTGGGAATTACACTAGTCTGGATATGTATCCAACTCCACCTCTTTCCCATACTTGTTATTAGATGTGTGATTTACTGTGTACTTAATCTTAGCTACAGATTCTTGTGTGTGAGGAGAGTTAATAGTAAGAATTACAGACCTGTAGGAAATTAGCACAGTGCTTCCATAGGGAGAGCACTCAGTAAAGAGGTAAACTCCCACTTATAAAAGAAATAGATGGTTATAAAATTGTCTAATAGACACTGAAAACTAAGAAGAGGGGAGGATAGGAAGGGCTGAGGGATAAAAATCTACCTGTTGAGTATAATGTACACTATTCTGGTGATGGGTATTCTAAAAGCCCTGACTTGAGCATAGTACAATTCTTCCATGTAACCAAAAACACTTGTACCTCCTAAATTTTTTGAAATAAAATAAATAAATAAACAAACAAAAGAAAATCATTAAGGAGAATGGGTAGCTGCCTGAATAGATTTTTCTTTGATTTTTATTTTCTTTGATATTTATTTCTTTGATTTTTATTTAATTTTTTATTTCAGGATATTATAAGGGCACAAACATTTTGGTAACATTTTACGTCTTTGCCTCACCCAAGCAAAGGTTAGAGGCATGCCCTTCCCCTCTACAATGCTCCCCACATCCATTAGTTGTGAGTTTACCTCCCAACCCCCTAATTCCTGGAGGATATTACTACCATGTGAGCACCATCATGTTGATGAGTTAGTGCCAATTTGATGGCAAGTACATGTGGAGCCTCTTCTTCTGAACTTGTGATACCTCACTTCGGAAAATAGGCTCAAGCTGTATCCATGAAAATATAAGAGGTGCTAGATCACTGTCATTTCTTATAATTGAGTAATATTCCATTGTATACATATACCAAACTTTAATACTCCACTCATAAATTGATGAGCACTTGGGTTGTTTCCACATCCTTGCAATAGTGAATTGTGCTGTCATAAACATTTGGGTGCAGATGTATTTATTATAGAATGTCTTTTCCTTTTTGGGGTAGATGCCTAATAGTGCTATCCTTGCCAGCATTTGTGGTTTCGAGATTTTTTGATAGAGGCCAATTTCACTGGGGTTAGGTGATATCTCATTGTGGTTTTGATTTGCATTTCTCTAATGATTAGAGATGTTGAATATTTTTTTATGTGTTTGCTAGCCATTATTCTGTCTTCTTTTGAAATGTTTCTGTTCATGTCCTTTGCCCATTTATTGATGGGGTTGTTTGACTTTTTCTTGTTGATTTTTTTGAGTTCTAAATAGATTCTTGTTATCAGCCCTTTATCAGATTTGTAGAAGGCAAATATTTTCTCCCATTCTGTAGGCTGTCTATTCACTCTAAGGATAGTTTCCTTGGCTGTGCAGAAGTTTTTTAATTTGATCAGATCCC